CACTGGAGCAGGTTCAGGTACATTCAGGAGCCGGTGCATGCCCAGTGCCTGCCAACAGTGTAACAGAGAGCCAATTCATGACTAGTACTTGCCAACAGTGCGTGACAGAGACGTGACCGATCGCCCAAGCTGCTAACGAGGCGATCAATTGGTGAAGAGGATAAAAAGTACAAGTTAGTAAAGTTACAAACTGTTTGTTAGTACTGGACAATAGACATATACTGACTGTTGGCAAGAACTGGGCTGCTGGGCATGTACTGACCCAGGATGTATCTGTGCCTGTGGCAGTGTTGGTCAAGTGTCTTAAACACTCGGTGCCGTCACAACACTCTCTGGCAGGTTATTACAACAGTTAACAACTCCTATTTGTGGCTTCTTCATCCCTAAGCCGTGAGAGGGCGGCCATCCACCAGTCCCAGGTATGGACACTCGACTAAAGTAATGTTCTCTATGGTGTTTATTAACCACCTGTTCGCCATAGTATAAGCCAGAACTGCAGGCGCTCTCATCTCTGGGTAACTCAGGTGCAGTAGTGCAGGTACCAGTCTGGTGGCCTTGCATTGGACATTTTCAATCAACTGACAGTCTCTAGCATATCTCGGGGAGCAAACGGGGTGACAGTACTCCAGAAGGGAAGTATCTCACTTTCTTATAAGACCCACTAGCTGAGTTGCTTGAGTCACTTTCACATTGATCCGAGAACTTCAGGTCATTGTCAACACACACCCTAGGTCCATTTCACACTTCATCTCGCCGGGACATGTAATACGTCTCCTGCCGTTGGTATGACCCAGGTGCTCTCCTCTGCACTTGTGACGTTGATTGAATCTTGTCAGCCAAGCCTTTGACCACTCCTGAAGCTGAGAGACATCTTCCTGTAGCGCTTCACTGTCCGTTTGGTCTTAATTTCCTTGAATAACTTGGAATCGTCAGCAAGTGAGAGATGGGAGGGGTGGGGAGGGGCAAGGGGAGATGGAAGGGGGTGGAGGGGGCAAGGGGGAGAAGGAAGGGGGGTGGAGGGGGGCAAGGGGAGAAGGAAGGGGGTGGAGGGGGGCAAGGGGGAGAAGGAAGGGAGGGGCAGGGGAGAAGGAAGGGGGTGGAGGGGGCAAGGGGGAGAAGGAAGGGGGGTGGAGGGGGCAAGGGGGAGAAGGAAGGGGAGGGGCAAGGGGAGAAGGAAGGGGTGAGGGGCAAGGGGAGAAGGAAGGGGGTGGAGGGCAAGGGGGAGAAGGAAGGGGGTGGAGGGGGCAAGGGGAGAAGGAAGGGGGGTGGAGGGGGCAAGGGGGGAGGAGAGCAAGGGGGAGAAGGAAGGGGTGGAGGGGCAAGGGGGAGAAGGAAGGGGGGGGGAGGGGCAAGGGGGAGAAGGGGGGTGGAGGGGCAAGGGGAGAAGGAATGGGGTGGAGGGGGCAAGGGGAGAAGGAAGGGGGGTGGAGGGGCAAGGGGGAGAAGGAAGGGGGTGAGGGGCAAGGGGAGAAGGAAGGGCAAGGGGCAAGGGGGAGAAGGAAGGGGTTGGAGGGGGCAAGGGGGAGAAGGAAGGGGGGGAGGGGCAAGGGGAGAAGGAAGATGGGGAGGGGCAAGGGGAGAAGGAAGGGGGTGGAGGGTTTAGTCTTAGTTTAACAAATTTATTGGCAGAGCTTGTAGTACAGTTTGCCTATTCTGAGCAATTCAGTCAGGTCTTGACACTGAGGGTGGTATCACTTCTCACTGTCACGCAGGACAGAGGTTCACACACAAAGAAATACATCATATTCATTAACAACTATGAATGTATATAGGTCAGGTTCAAATGGATAATGTCACTGTTCACTGCCATGCAGGACAGAGGTTCGTACACAAAGAGTTGCATCATATTCATTGACAGTACATATAAATATATGTAAACACACACACACACACATATACATACATATACGTATATACATACACATATACATGTACACGTACATATACATGCACACACGCACACATACATACATATACGTCGGTCAGATTCATGTGGGTAATGTCACTTTCCACTGCCATACAGGACAGAGGTTCGTACACAAAGAATGCATCATAGTCATTGACACTATATATAGGTCAGATTCATGTGGATAATGCCACTGTTCACTGCCACGCAGGACAGAGGTTCGTACACAAAGAAGGAAATACATCACATTCACCAGCAGCATATATAGGTCAGTGGATCACATACATTGGAGTCATATTCTAATTGAAGACTAATCAGTGTGGGCTAGCAAATTTGGGGTAAACAGCAAGAATGTCCTCAAGCACACCTGATTCAATGAAGTAATTACATAGTTCAAGATACAGTAAGTCAGGTGGCCTGAAGTCTGAGGGGGGCAGGGGAGAAGGAAGGGGGAGGGGGGCAAGGTGAAGGAAGAGGGTGAGGAGAAGGGGGAGGGGGATGAGGCGATTCTGTATATCACAATGTGTACCTTGCCCCTCCTTCTCCTCCTCCCCACCACCCACCCTCCTACTATTCCACTTTCCCTCCCACCTTCCTCGCTCCTCTCTCCTCTCTCCTCCGCCTCCTCATCACCTCCCACCATCCCACCTTCACTCCCTATCTCCCACCTCCTACCTCCCTCTACTCCCCCTCCCACCTTCCCCCACCTCTCCATCTTTGGTTTGGCTGCTTATCTGATCACGTGTACAGTGTGTGTGTGTGTGTGTGTGTGTGTGTGTGTATGTGTGCATGTGTGTGTGTGTGTGTGTGTGTGTGTGTGTGTGTGTGTGTGTGTGTGTCTCGTACTGATCAAGCCATAAGAACAACTCATTCCAACCAAAGTGAAAACCAATGAGATAAAAGGTCGCGTAATCATCTCTTTCTCACGATAACAAGTGATAACAGCAGATAACATTAACGATAACAGTGGTAGATAATAAGAACACATTACAGATAGTTAAGCTAATCCAGCCTCCTGGTGAAGAGGCTGAGAGAGAGAGAGAGAGAGAGAGTTAGACAAAGATGCCAATTAAACACACACAAGCACGAATCTTACACACACACACACACACACACACACATACACATACCTCCTCCGCCGACTCAAGTCCCTCGTAGTTCCTGCACACGAGCTCCTCAGTGTTTACACAACATTCATACTTCCCAAGCTCACCTATGCCTCCCCCACCTGGTCTTCCTCCCTAAATGCCACACAACGTAAACACCTAGAAGAAGTGCAAAAGAGGGCATGCAAGATTATTCTCTCCCCTTCCTACTCCACATATCAAGAAGCGCTCAACACCCTGACCCTTTCGACTCTCACTGACCATCACCACGACCTCATCTGCAAATTTGCAGTAAGAAGGTTCACACCATCTCGACACCGGCCTTACTACCACCTGGAGATCCCTTGGTGCGCCCGAGAATTGCTGGGTTCGACACCACAACCGCATCCAGCCCATACGTGCACGAACTGATCGTTATAAGAACAGCCCAGTCTCCAACCATTGTAAAAAATTATCAATAACTTGTAATAAAACCAGTGTATTCACTCCCCAGTAAACACTACCTCACACTGTTACTATGTTGAAATGAACTGTAGTTTGGAGCTTTTCCACATCTAGTTATTATATGTCTTATTTGTGTCAATTTATGTTACTTGTATATTATTTGTAATTCGTAACCCATTCCCCAAATATGTAACTGTATATTTTCAGCCTTCTGGCTGCCAAGCTTTTCAATGTTCTGCAGAGATGAACCCCTTCGCCAGTGCTTGTGCCATGTTGCCAGCTCCAATAAACCCGATCCTCAGTGCTGCCATAGTGACGGTCAACTGCCGCTGTATAAGTTGTCACTAAATTAATTCATAAAACTATTTTTTAATTGGTTTTATTTTTGTTTTTGTTTTTTACACCAGTAGAGTGTTGTCACTGTCAAGGCTGCGCGAGACTCCCTGGTCGGTCCAGGAGCGTCGTGTTCACTCCGCTTCCTTGGGTATATTCCATGCCCACCCCTACAGGCCTACCAACCTTACCCTCTTATCTTGAATATATAAACACTAATATAACCGCTGCTATATTCAGTATATGTCGTATTATATAATATAAATATATATTGTGGCTTTGATGTTTGATATTGGGATGAGAGATAAAGATATACTTGACGTTGTGAGTTTCTAATCATTACTTTGTACACAATCAACGGTTGGTCACTAACTCAGGTGCGCACGAAGATGGATGTTGCCATATAGTGATCAGATGAAATAATGTAGGTATTAATGTGTCTGTATGTCTGTGTATAATATAACATACCACTAACCTAACCTAACCTAACCTAACCTAACCTAACCTAACCTAACCTAACCTAACCTAACCTAATCTAACACTAACCTAATCTAACATAACCTAACCTAATCTAACTTAAACCTATCCTAATCTTACCTAACTTAACATATCGTAATCTAACCTAACTTAATATAGCCTAACACTAACTTAACCTAACCTAACCAAACTAATCCTAATCTCACCACTCAACGGCATTATTTTCATAAGCCTTGGTGGTGGGTGTCAGACCATATTCAGTAATAATTGAATATTTAATTATTGTTGTTTTGCATTCCGTCGCATTCAAAATAGTTTCAATTGTTCTCATTATCTTTCTCTATTTCCTCTTATTTATCTCTATCTTATTTTCATATTATTCTTATTATTTTTTCTTTTGTTACGTGTACAGTATTAGCGTGTGTTAAATAAAAGTTGGAACGCGGTGTCGTGATCGAATGGTAAATTTCAGCCCTACCCTGATGACCTTGAGTTGCCAAATGTCGCAATAACCACACCTTTTTTTTATTTAATTCATCGTTCAGTTCTTCGTAGATTATTATTATTATTATTATTATTATTATTATTATTATTATTATTATTATTATTATTATTGTTATTGTTATTATTATTATTATTATTATTATTATTATTATTATTATTATTATTATTATCCCATACAAATAATTCCTCTCATTAATTACATGTATAAATAAGTTAAACGAGACACGTGATTAATTTTTATCCAATTATATTTATTAGTTTGAGTTTCCAAGTTGTAAATACAATGTCCATCATTGATTAATTTATTTTACTTGAGAACATTACTAGTGAACATTACTGGAGAACACTACTGAAGAACATTACTAAGGAACATTACTAAAGAACATTACTGGAGAACATTATTAGAGAACATTACTGGAGAACATTACTAGAGAACATTACTTGAGAACATTACTAGAGAACATTACTAAAGAACATTACTGGAGAACATTATTAGAGAACATTACTAGAGAACATTACTGGAGAACATTACTAAAGAACATTACTTGAGAACATTACTGGAGAACATTACTGGAGAACACCTTTCCCTACAATAGCATTACTAGAGAACATTACTCATTACCCTAGAACATTACTAGAGAACATTGAATTACTGGAGAACATTACCTTAGAGAACACCTTTCCCTACAATAGCCAACCTCCCCTAAAACATTGAATCAGAACACCATGTCCCCTCCAGAGAACATAAGGGCCTCTACATCCTCCAGGAGACTGTGGGGTCCGTCAGCGTTCATCCCAAGTCCGGCAGAAGCGAGGAGAGGGTCGGATAGGACTCCATCTTGGTCACCGAGGCCCATCTCTGCTGCGTACTTGTGGAAATCTGCCCTCATACACGCTGTCACCTGTTATAACGGTAGACATGGTGAGTGTGTGTGTGTGTGTGTGTGTCTGTGGGAGTGTGTGTATGTGTGTGTGTATTACTTCTGTTTGGGTTTCTTTAAGTGAATAAGGTCATTGAAAATATCTCTCTCTCTCTCTCTCTCGGTTCATCTGTCCATCTATCCACCAATAAATTTACCCATTTATTTATGTATGCCTCTTACTTATTTACAGTATATTTGAACCATTATCTATCTATCTATCTATCTAGCTATCTATCTATCTATCTATCTATCTATCTATCTCCTTCCTTCCCTCCTTCCAACACCTACCTCTTTCATCATCATACACTTGAGGAAGGCCAGGGCAGTACCCAGTTCCTTCTTCAGGGGATTCTTCGCCTTTTCCACCGGCAGACACATGGAGAAGTCCCTACACGTCTCCAGAGCCTCGCCGAAGTCAGCCTTCAGGGAGTCGTCGACGGGGAGGTTCAGAATCTCTTGACCGATGTAGGCATAGTTCGGCATGTTGTTGGAGTCGAGCTGGGGAAAATTGGTTGGGGAAAATTGGTGGGGGAAAATTGGTTGGGGAAAATTGGTTGGGGAAAATTGGTTGGGGAAAATTGGTGGGGGAAAATTGGTTGGGGAAAATTGGTTGGGGAAAATTGGTTGGGGAAAATTGGTGGGGGAAAATTGGTGGGGGAAATTATTTTGGGAAAGTTGAGAAATAATAATGTTTGTCATAATGATAATCCTATAGGACTCCCCTCTCACCCCCCACAGGACTCACCAAGGACTCCCCCCCCCCCAGGACTCACCAAGGACTCCCCCCCCACAGGACTCACCAAGGACTCCCCTCTCACCTCCACAGGACTCACCAAGGACTCTTCCTCACCTCCACAGGACTCACCATGACTCCCTCACCCCCACAGGACTCACACAAGGACTCTCTCACCCCCAAGGACTCACTCTCACCCCCCACAGGACTCTACCAAGGACTCTTCTTCACTTCCACAGGACTCACCAAGGACTCTCACCTCCACAGGACTCACCATGACTCCTTCTCACCTCCTCACAGGACTCTCACTTATGGACTCTCCCTCACCCACCACAGGACTCACCAAGGACTCCTCCCTCACCCCCCATAGGACTCACCATCTTCACCTCCCGCAGGACGCAGGTAATGTTGCTGATCTTGGCCGTCATTCTCTCCTTCAGTGTTTCAATCTTCTCAGGACTCAGGGGGGCAAACCGCTTCTGTCAACACGTCATGGAAAACAGATTATTTACCTTTGTGTACCGATATATACGGTCTATGTACTGTACATTGTGTGTGTGTGTGTGTACCTCCACTGTGTATGACTAGTATCTCAAAAAAAGAAAATTATCTGACTTCCGAAATGCTACATGTAACTCGTGATGTCCCGGGAGGGTTGGTATGTGTGGCTCTGTTCGTGATGTCCCGGGAGGGTTGGTATGGGTGGCTCTGTTCGTGATGTCCCGGGAGGGTTGGTATGGGTGGCTCTGTTCGTGATGTCTCGGGAGGGTTGGTATGGGTGGCTCTGTTCGTGATGTCCCGGGAGCGTTGGTATGGGTGGCTCTGTTCGTGATGTCCCGGGAGGGTTGGTATGCGTGGCTCTGTTGGCATACTGATCCTACTACAGTTGGTAACCGAACATTATATTAACTACGGAATAAATATACAGCGCATCACTTATATTAAACTACAGGGCAGGAAAGCGCATGTCCCAATATCTATCATCCGTGGTCTCAATGTTTTACACAGACTGGACACATTGAGATACTGTACAAGCTGAATTAATACAAACTTATATGACTATTTTACTGTATAAATATGTATCTATCTGTAGCACCGCCGGAGGAAACGTTGATTATTTCACTTTTTTTTTATATTATCATTTCACTATTTATTATCTAACTGGCCGTTCAGGTGGTTGGTCTGTTCTTTGTTACTTTGTTATGGCGGCGCCGTGTGAGCTCATTCAAGACGAGAGGATAAAGTAAAGTAAAGTAAAATAAATTAAACATCTAATAAAATAAATTCACTATCAAACCATCAGAGAAAACGGCGATATATTAAGAATATTTAAGGTATAACTATACAATTTCGAGCATGGAAGGCTTTAGCACAATGTCTATGAAAATGCTCATTATCATCACTGAACACAAGTTTAACACGCATGTAACTCAGCTTTCTATGGCTTAAATGTCCTGTTTCCAGTACAATATATAGTTCTGTATCTATTTGAGATTTTTTTTTTTTTTTGCATATCTTCTCTGACAATTTGACGACGGCTGTAAGCGACACACACACACACACACACACACACACACACACACACACACACACAAACTCACCGTCCGCATCCCTGCTACATTCTGGTAGGGGTTGTACTGGTTCACCTGGCCGTACTGGGTGAACTGGGGCATCTGTGGGTACTGGGGGAACTGGTAGGGTGAATAGACAGGCACTGGGACGTACATCGGGCGGCGGTAAGCGTTCCTCCTCAACTCATTCTGTTAAGACGTGAAGGCAGTAGACACAACACAACAGCTCATCAAGTATTTAAAAGTCTACCATCAACTTAATCCTCCACGTAAGACTCTCGTAGATCCTAAACCTAACCAAAACAAAGACTACACAACCACAGGTGATCTACAGGTATATGATCTGAATCTACACAGGTTAATTACACTCCCACATAGTCATAAACTCACCAACATATCCTGGAAGTCTGGTATGATGTCATAAGTGTCAATCCCATGGCACTTGTCACACGCTGCCTTCATCTGCTGACCCCACTGTCTCACCGGTTCTTCTCCTACACAGCTCGACATGATCTTAATGGGAGAGTATGCATATGTTAGGGATAGATAGATAGATAGATAGATAGATAGATAGATAGATAGATAGATAGATAGATAGATAGATAGAACACTAATGAGATGAAGACAGTAAACATTAAGGGGCTAATTGGACGACTTACCTTTATATAAGCGTATTTCTTCAACATAGCCTCAGGTGGACTCATAGAGGTGAGGACGGAGCCGAGGGAGGCGACCAACACTGCCAGGTGAACCCACATACTGCAAAGGTGAGTGTCTCAGTGTGTGTCTCTCTCTCTCTTTTGTCTCTCTCTATTTCCTTCTCGGTTTCTCGCTTTTTCTCTCTCTCTATTTCTCTCTTTCAATTTTTCTCTCTGTCTACGCACGCATCTCTCTCTCTCTCTCTCTCTCTCTCTCTCTCTCTCTCTCTCTCTCTCTCTCTCTCTCTCTCTCTCTCTAAATCAAATTACGTAACTTTAGAAATATATTGTTTTTTCTTAATTTACTTAAAACTTTATAAACAATGACTTATATTGTTCGATATAAGTGTCTCTATACCGAATACTTATAAATTACACTTATTATTGATTAAATGTCACTTAACACCCACTACTTATTTATTATTGCTTATATATTATACTCAAGTCTAAATAATGTACTTAAAAAATTACTTAATATTTCTAAAGTGGATTTATTGCTTGTTTAAATGATGTAAACTTACATACACACACACACACACACACACACACACACACACACACACACACACACACAAACATTTACATGAACACAGACACATACATATACACATCATAATAATAATAATAATAATAATAATAATAATAATAATAATACTGAAAGCCCCTCGAAATCGAGGATGGCCGGCCCAAGGGCCTCCTAGGCGTGAATTTGTTAAGGTGTAGAAGCTGTCGCCAACACAACAACCACACCCTGAGTTAACAAGCTGCATGACCCAGTGTCAAGGAGTAGTCCGAGAAGACCGGACAACTCGCCAACTGCACTGGCTAACCATTACCCCGGAATACGATCCGCAAATCGATTAACATCCAGGTTCCCAATTACTGCTGGGTAAAATGGCGTAAAGAAACTTGCCCATAACTTCATCCTGCCCGGGGATCGAACCCGGGTCCACTCGCTTGCGAGGCGAGCATGCTGACCACAGGTCGCCCACACATAGATACACAGACACACACACACATATAATGAAATCGCTCGCTCACGTGTGTGTGTGTGTGTGTGTGTGTGTGTTCATGTATATGGGTGTGTGTGTGTGCGTTTATGTATGTATTATGTGTACAGTATGTGCCCATGAATATGTCTCGGTGTGTGTGTGTGTGTGTTTATGTATGTATGTGTACAGTATGTGCTCATGTATATGTCTCGGTGTGTGTGTGTGGGTGTGTGTGTGTGTGTGTGTGTTTATGTATGTATGTGTACAGTATGTGTGTGTGTGTTTCCTGCCCTTCCCATCTTCACCCTCCTCCCCGACGAGATTCCCACCTTGCCTACTGTATATCACCCCACAGGTAAGATGACTCTGTATAAACACAATTAACGTTTCCTCCTCCACCATTAGACTGACGCCCTCAAACTCTCCTCTGTCGGGTCATTTTCCTCCCAAAGTTGTCAGTCTCAAGTAGATTTTTATATATTCTCATTTAAAGTCTAAGGTTAACTTCTCCTCCACTGGTGATGTGAGAACCTATCTAACTGACTCATAGCTACGACCAAAGATGAATTCTCAAAGGTTCCTACTAAATGATAATATATAACTACCTGGGGCTGCCTACAAATTATTATATAATTCTTAATGTATTCACCTGAGGATCAAGGTCTTAGCGATTATAGGTGAAAATTATCACCATTATAATTATTTTCCGAAATGGACCAAATTGCTCAACTTTGTAACAGGAACTGAATCTCAAGACTTTGGAAAATTGTTCTCATATGAATCGGAAAATAGGAGAGAATTTTCATAATATATTATTTTTCTTGAGATTGTGTCGATATAATTGTGGGAATTGTATATATATATATATATATATATATATATATATATATATATATATATATATATACGATGATTTAATCCCTTGAGTACGACGACTTGAGTCGTTGACTTAGAATCTTGAGTACGATAACTTAATATCCCAATCTGGGTGGCAATATCGTAGTACGATGACTTAATATCCGTGAGTACGATGACAATCCTTGAGTACGACAATTTAACATCCTTTAGTACAATACTTTACTCTTGAGTACATTAACCAGTACTCTCGATTTCTGGCTGCCACAGGAACGATAATGACCTAAAACCGTCAGCGTGACTCGGCGCTTATGAGGGTCGGCAGTTGTGAAGGTCAATAGGGGTCAACATCTGGGTGGTTGGGGAGGATATGAAGACACGAAGCATTCACGGGTAGTAGTAGAAGTAGTAGTAGTAGTAGTAGTAGAGAATTCAGAACGTTGATCAAGGCAGCTTCACTCCTCTAGTGTTCACAACCTCTGGTGGGATGGGCCCAAGTGCAAGATGCTTCTACGCGAACTCGCGGAGGTGTTATCCGAACTGAAGCAGCAGCCCAGAAGTTATGTTACAGCCTGGATGAGCTGTCGACTGTCTTCTCTCTCTTAGGTCGGCTTTGCTCTGCCTCAGGGAAAAGGCATCAGCCCCAAAGCCGACAACAGTTGCAGATGTTGACTGAGGCAACAGTCACTGAATGCCGCACTGATCTGCGGTTCAACTAACTCAACACAGCTAGGGTAGCTACTTATGTATTAGGATATTTAATTTTAAAGTAGTAGGAATGGGATTTACTGATCCAGAGGAGCTTGCTGCCACCGAACATCAGAACTCAGTCAAGCTCACGGCAGCCCTCACTTAGCAAGTCAGGTGGATTTTTTACATAGAATTTCTTTTCAATGGGACACTATGCTATTAAATACTTTTAACGAAGCTTTATAATTGTGGTCATCCTTGATTTGGTTAAAAGTACTGAAAAAGTTACAAAAAATATTTACCGATCGTCATTTCAGAATTTATTGGGCAGTGATTGGTTATAACCTGAAGAATCATCGTGACCATGAGATAATAAACCCTTGCTATTGGTCAGAAGTTTCGTGACGTAGCATTGTGACATTGAGATAATAAACCTCACCATTGGTCAGAAGCGTTGTTGAGAAATGACATCATAGACTAGAAGCACTGTGATTGGTCGTAGGTGATTGACACTTCAGGTTGATGACACTTCCGTAATTGATAATCACCCACACACACACACCACCGTGATTGGGCAGCTTTTCTCTGACGGGCGGCGCCGTGACAGTATAACAGCTGATGATGGCCGGCTACATCATTATAATAAACCAACATGGCGGCCTTACGGTTCAGTTGTGTTGCAGAAAATATTTATGACAGTGGCATGAAATATGGCAGTGACGTCACAACCCTACCAGCCCTCCACACAGTGTTACCAACCTTCCCTCCTCCCTAGAGGAGTATGTTGGTAGCCCTGGAGGGTTATGTTATATATTTACATAAGTTTCTGTCTTGACTTACTGTTGGTACTCCTGCAGGCTGAAGAAGAAGAAGAAGAAGAAGAAGACATTGTTCCTTCAGGTATTACATTTATGGTAATTGTCCTCGTGTTATGTGACAGTTGTGGTCCTGACCGGCCATTCCCCTCATTAACTCAGATTTAAGTATACAGTACATACATACACTGTACATACATACTATACATACATGCATACATACATACATACATACATACATGCATACATACATACATACATACATACATACATACATACATACATACATGCATACATACATACATATGTGCGCATCACTAAGAGGTCCCTGGACATCACTGAGAGGTCCCTGGGCATCACTAAAGAGGTCCCTGGGCATCACTGAAAGGTCTCTGGGCATCACTAAAGAGGTCCCTGGGCATCACTAAAGAGGTCCCTGGGCATCACTAAAGAGGTCCTGGGCATCACTAAGAGGTCCTGGGCATCACTAAGAGGTCCCTGGGCATCACTATAGAGGTCCCTGCATCACTGAGGGTCCCTGGGCATCACTATTAGGTCCCTGGGCATCACTAAAGAGGTTCCTGGGCATCACTATTGAGGTCCCTGGGCATCACTGAGAGGTCTGGGCATCACTATTAGGTCCCTGGGCATTACAAGAGGTCCCTGGGCATCACTATAGAGGTCCATGGGCATCACCATAGAGGTCCCTGGGCATCACTATAGAGGTCCCTGGGCATCACTGGGAGGTCCCTGGAGGTCCGTAGAGAGGTAGAGGAGGTCAGGGCCTCACAACACGGGATTGCTGTAGGTGAGTGAGTTACGCAAGCGGGCCATTTGTTACTCTGCATCACGGTGTTCCCAGGGCCTCAACATGTTTTATCTCAGTTAGTTAATGGTTTTGAGTGTTTTGTTTCTGTTTTCCTGTGTTTTCCTTTTTTGTCTTTTGGGCTGAAGTTTTGAGTTGCTAGATTGTTTTTATCTGTTGTTTTGCTGTTGTTTTCAGTATCTCACCCACCCTCATCCACCCACCCTCATCCACCCACCCTCACCTACACCCATAGCTATACACCCACCTCATCCACCCACCCTCACCTACACCCATAGCTATACACCCCTCCCACCACCACCCTCACTTACGTTGTCCTATCGTCCGTGTGTGTGTGTGTGTGTGTGTGTGTGTGTGTGTGTGTGTGTGTGTGTGTGTGTGTGTGTGTGTGTGTGTGTGTGTGTGTGTGTGTGTGTGTGTGTAGGGAGAACGGCCGCATGTACATACACAGAAAATGAACGTAATCGTGACTTGCATTTTGTGGCCCCCTCTCCCCCTCCCTCCTCCTTCTCCACCCCCATCTATCTATCTATCCATCTATCTATCTATCTATCATCAAAATTCAATAGGCTGAAAAGAAAAGACAGAAAGTAAAGGAGGATTTTAAAGATAGAGAAATAGAGTGAAAGAGATGATACAAAGATATACGGACAGAGAACAGACAGAGAGACAGACAGAGAGAGAGAGAGAGACAGACAGACAGACAGACAGACATAAACACAGACAGACGGACAGACAGAGACATAAACACAGACATACAGACAGACAGACAAACGGACAGACAGACGTAAACACAGACAGACGGACAGACAGAGACATAAACACAGACATACAGACAGACAGACAAACGGACAGACAGACAGACATAAACCACACAGACAGACAGACAGAGATATAAACACAGACA